TGCAGTGGAGAAAGAGCCTCCCCTCTTACTTCATGGAGATCTTGTATCATCTGAGTTATTTGTTTCACCATTTAATATATTGATGTGATTTCCTTTCTCTTTTTTCTATATATGAGAACTATTTGGGTTACAAAATTCACAACAACAATAGAAAAGAACACACTGCAAAAGTCAACTGGAATAACAAAAGGGCATCACAACAGGAGTGACAGCAATCTCAAATTGTGAAAACATGTGGATATGTATGTATTGTTGTGGTTCATTATTATTATTATTATTATTATTATGATATTTATAGAGTGCCATCAAATTCCGCAGCGCTTTACAGTGGGTGGACGAACAGACATGTAGCTAGTTGGACACACAGGAACAGAGGGGTTGAGGGCCCTGCTCAATGAGCTTCCATGCTAGAGGGAGTGGGGTAAAATGACACAAATGGTAAGGATAGTATTAGACTAGTGACAGTTGCAGAAGAGGAATCAGTTGGGAGCTATTAACAGTTTAATTCATACGCTTTTATGAAGAAGTGGGTTTTTAATTATTTTTTTGAAGGAATGGAGACTGGGTGAGCATCTAACGGAGGAGGGAAGCGAGTTCCACAGGAACGGTGCAGCCCTCGAGAAATCTTGAAGGCGAGCATCAGAAGTGGGAGTAAGGACAGAAGATAGACGTAAGTCTTCAGCAGATTGTAAGGGCCTAGACGGGACATACTTGTGTATAAGGGAGGATAGATAGGTGGGAGCAGCATTATATGAAAGCAAGAGCCAGAATTTTAATTTTCAAATTACAATGTTACTGACCAGTAGGCTGCTTCAGACAGCTTGACAGAGGGTACTGGTATTAGTCATTATGTACAGGGACTGGGAAAAGTAAAAAAAAAAAAAAAAAATACACTGAAAATAGTTGTTTTGACAATACCAGAGTGCTCACAATACACAGTAATATATAAAGGACATGGTCTTGGGACTGTAATTAAAGGGACCCTATAGGCACCAACATATCTTTAGCTTAATGAAGCAGATTCATTGTATAGATTATGCCCCTCCAGTCTCACTGCTCAATTCGCTACCATTTATAAGGTAAATTACTTTATTTATGCAGCCCTAGTCACACCTCCCTGCATGTGCCTTGCAAAGCCTTCCTAAACACTTCCTGAAAATTAGGTTCCTTTATTGCTCAGTCAGTTTAATCTAGAATGCCTTGTCTCCTGCTCTCTTAATAGCCTTCTAGGGACTGTAGAAGCCTGCTGTGTGTTCTTAAATTTGCAGAGCAAGAGAAAAATACTTCTGAAACAAATTAACATCTGATTGAAAATTAAGCATCTTTTGCATGCTGTGTGTGTCAGTCACAACCAATGGAAATGTTGTTTTGGTGACTATAGTATCCCTTTACAGTTCAGAATCTGTTTAATGTTTTCCTGAAACAAATGTTGAAAGCTGTACTTTATCAAAATAATAAGAGAATGTTCTATAAGGTTTAGGATTAAACAATTTTACTGAGATGTACTGCTGTCCCTTGTGGCACCGATAGAGAGTATAATTATCAAGTAAAGCATGCTGGTGCGAGACTCCAGCATTTAATTAGAAAGAGACAGCTCCCGCACTCTGTTTGAGAAAATGCAGATGTGTGTTGGTCACGTATATGAAAGCACTCAACTTCTTGTTTGGTTCAGATACATTCCTAGACATACGTGGTTATTTACTAAAGAGACAAATCAAAGTGAATTGGCCAGAGTAGCCAAACAGAAAGCAGAATTGACCTAGAGAATTTTCCAGGTTGACTATTTTTACTTGTAATTTTAAATTCACTTTGAATTCTTGCTTTAGTGAATACCTTGACAGTTCTCTGGTTTGTTCTATGTTTATGGTTTTATTTGTTTTTGTCCCTACTTACATTAGAACATTGGAACATCCTGCTTCTTCTGGTTTGCTCATATTTTACATCCTAAGTTCTTGCCTTGTTTGTGCTCCAGGCTATGACCTCAATGGTATTTGTAATTTTTAATTATATGGCAGTTTTGTACTTTTGCATAATTTTTTGTGTGTGACAAAATAGGAGTCTATTTCCTTTATATGGTAAATGGGTCTTTTGCTCAGTGATTGGTCTCAGATGTAGCTCTCTAATTAGGCAATTTAGGCGGCTGTCTAAGATCTTGTGCTGACGGGGGCCTCACAGCTGCCTAAATCGCCATAGGGCAGACTGACCTGTCCGGTCCTTGAACCATTACCGAGGTCTTAACACTCTGTCCTAAAAGTGAGCTCAGTGCCTCCAGTCTGCAACTCCACCTGGTATAGAGCTGCAAACTGAAGTGCCTTGTGATCTCCAGCCAAACAAAGCATTGCAGCAGGTTACCGTGGCAATGCTCTGACACTTCTGGAGATTGTGAGACTCCTGTCCCATGGTCTGCAGCTCTTCACCCGGCAGAGCAGCAGACCGAAGAGCCAGTCTACAAGACCACCAGGGAGTAAGACCACCAGGGAAACTATTAACAAAATAAGGTATTTATGACCCCTCCACACTTTGTCATCCCCTCCACACACACTATCACACCCTCCACACACTCGGTCACCCCCACACACACACACTATGTCACCCACTCCACACACTCTACCATCCCTCACACACTATCACCCTCCACCCACACTGTTAACCCCCCACTATGTAATTTCCTACACACACTGTGTCACCTCCTCCACACACTCCGTCACCCACTCCACACACTCTCTGCCAACCTCCACACACTATGTCACCCTCTCCAAACACTCTGTCACCACTCACACACACTGTCATTCTTACACACACTCTTGCAATCTCCATGCACTCTTTCATTCCCCACACACTCTGCCACCCCCTCCACACACACTGTTACCCCCCCACACACACTGTCACCTCCCCCACAAACTCTGTCACCCCCACAAACAATCTTGCATCCTCCACACACTCTGTTATCCACCACACACTCGGCCACTCCCTCCACACACTGTAACCTCCCCTCTACACACACTGTCACCCACTCACTCACACTGTCACTCCCCACACTCTCTCTATCCCCCTCCACACACTATGTCACCCCCTCCACACTGTTATGTCACAAGAGGTTTTGGATTTGGAACTCAACTGCCGCTTGTAAAACTCCTTAATTCAATGGCAAAAAGAGGAGTAATGCTTTAAATTAATAAGGTAGCTGTAGCTTTAAAGCAAGGTGGAGGTTGCAGGCAATTAGTGGAAAAGAAAAGGCTTTAATGATTGCAATAATATTTTAGTAAATGCAGGTTATAGCAAGCAAGTAAAAGTTCATTAATAAGTAAACCTTCAGAGATAGAAGTAAATTGTATACTTTAGATTGATGGGAGTTGTCCTCCATGGAACTGAATAGTTTGAGTCCAAAGGATGTTTGACATAAACAGTCCGGTTTCAAGGAAATAAGTAGAGATCCGGTAAATCCAATACGGTCCGTGGTCAGAGGGCAATGAAAAGGCAAAAGTCTGTTACAACAATCCAAGGTTCGGTACACGTTAGGAACGAAGAGAAGCTTAGCTGGCGTTGAATGCGGAAGTGTTACAACAATCCAAGGTTCGGTACACGTTAGGAACGAAGAGAAGCTTAGCCGGCGTTGAATGCGGAAGTAACATCCCAAATCACCAAGCCTCTTGAATCTGGCGCGGTCTCTCTATAAAGCGTGAGAGAGCCGAGTCAGAAAGGGGGCGGAGCCGGTTCCGCATACCGGAAATGCCGGAACGGAGCCGGACCAAATACGGCCTGACAGACACACTCTGTCACCACTCACACACACTGTCATCCTTACACACACACTCTTGCATCCTCCATGCATTCTTTCATCCCCCACACACTCTGCCACCCCTCCACACACACTGTCAACTCCCCTCTACACATACTGTCACCCCCACACACACTGTCATCTCCTCCACACACTCTGTCACGTCCACATACAATCTTGCATTCTCCACACACTCTATCATCCACCACACACTCTGCCATTCCCTCCACACACACTGTAACCTCCCCTCTACACACACTGTCACACCCCACATATACTGTCACCCCCTCTACACACACTGTCATCCCCCACATACACTGTCACCCCTTCCACACACTCTGTCACCCCCCATACACATGCTATCACCCCCTCCTCACTATGTTACTCCCCCACGCTCTGTCACCCCTCTACACTCTGTCACCCACCCACACTCTGTCACCTCGGACACATACACATCCCCCTCCACACTCTGTCACCCCCCACACTCTGTCTCCCCCACACACTTTTGTCACCACTCCCCACACACACTGTCACACCCATCATTAACTTCGCCCTGCCACAATCACTTAAATTCCACCTGATCCTGTCACACTCATCCCCTCCAACCATACCGCATTCACCTCCCCTCGCTCTGCCACACTCATGCTTTCACATTATTACACTAATCCTGTCACACTCATCTTTTCTCGCACACTCACATTCACCTACCAATCCTGCCACACTCATCCCTTTTCACCCTGTCATATTAAGCCCTTCAAACCTGTCACACTCACCACCCCCGCCATGCCATACACACCCTGTCAAATAACCACCCCCAATCATCACGCTCCCCTCCCCTCATTCTGTCACATTCCCTCCTCCAACTGTGCCTCACTCATCCCCAATTCTGTCACACGTGCTTAATCCTGTCACACTCCCCCTGTCACATTAATGCCTCTAATACTGTCACACTCACTCCCCCTTACTCTGTGACATCACCCTCTCAATTAACTCCCCTTAATCCTGTCAGATTCACCTCTCCTTACCCTGTCACATATAAAAGAATATAGATGGTTGCGAAGCTTGCCAACCATACTGAGCAGACGCCATCTCTTCTAGCTCCCTCACACAATCCAGCGTGATATCTCACGCTGGATCCATCCATCCAGCTCCAACTTCACCCTGAGTGCTAGAGGAACAGATTGATGCCTTTCTTTCAGATGCCGAAGCAGCCTGGACGGAGGCGCAAGACAGCGACCTACGTGGCATCACCACTACTAGGTCTCGAGGTCCTACTCGGCGGACCGGGATGGGTGCGAACAGCTGCGGAGCAACATCTGCCTGGCACCCCGGCCAACACGCCGAACATGAGCCGCTGCATGCACAGCCATCACACCCGGAAGCGATATGGGCGAAATGCTGAAATGACCAGCGCAAACGGTGCTCGCGGAGACGGAACGCCAACCAGACCTCTTAACAGCCCCGGGCCCGGGAGAGCTGTGAGCCTGGTGCCTCTGAGACCCCTCAGGCAGACGCAGCCTTAATTGAAAAGTCCCCAGATGACACAGCCCCAACAACTAAACGCGACCTAAAAATCTTACTTGCTGACATACAAAAACTAGTGGAAGCAGACGTCGCCCTTTTTAAAGTGGACATACAACAAGTCACTGACCGTGTCAAAAGGACAGAGGACACTGTAACAGACTTACAAAACACAGTGACCAACCTTCAGGACCCTGTGATGCACCTCTAAGCTGAACAACATGTGCTGGCTGCTCAAATAATGTCCATGGAGGACAGACAACGCAGAACACACATCAAAATACGGGGGATACCCACCACGGACTCAACCGAAGAACTGCCATGCTATATCAGGCACCTGCTCTCTACACTCCTGCCACAAGCCACAGCCAAGAAAATTGTCCTAGATGGACGGGCACTGCACGCATTCAGGCCGCAATGACGAGAGATGTTGTACTGCGCTGTGTCACTGTGCACGATAAGATCCAAATCATTATGGCCCTGAAAGGCAAGACATCTTTGACCTTTGAAAACTCTTAATTGCTCTTCCTCCAAAACCTCACCAGAGCCACTTTACAACGGTGCAAGACCTTTGGACCGTGCCAACTGTATTGAGACAAGCAGGAATACCCTACAGATGGGGGCACACTGGTTCTCTCTTAGTGCAACGCGAAGGGACTGCCCACTCTCTTACAGACGGCACCACTCCTATGAACTGGCGGAGACGCCAACGATCTGACCCGGTCACCTGAATAACCTGGGGACTGCTCTGCCCACACAAGACTGCTCAAGACGGCCAGATTGCACAAACGCTGTGCTAATGTTATGATTTGAATTTATTTTCACTTTTCTTTATGTTTAATGCCGCTCCCTATGCTTTACAACCTTCTTACCAAGTTCACAGGCACGGAAATGACCTATGACCTAGAGCGATAAGCAGGAAACACTGCAGCATTAAGCTGCGACAATCTAAACCACCATGACCACAAATAACAAGTCTCATTGGGCAAGATGGAACTTACATACCCCCCCCCCCCCCCCCCCCCCCCACCACCCTTTAGGTTAGGAGTAACCAACACAGATGTTTATTCTCTCACTCTCGATGTGGAGCTTATAGCTATCTACCCACCATACTGACACATGATTAGAAGGCTCCTTAGCCTTAAGGCACAGACAATATTGGCATCCTGAACTCACACATGCTTCAGTAAGCCACATAACTCACCCTATGCACTCAAACTCGCCCTCACTGGAACACCCACGAATCCTGTCAAATTCCAGCATGGAGTATCCCTGGCACACGGTTAAAATCCTCTCCCACGACCCACATAGAGCTAATCCCGGGTTTGAAACCTCACCTGTCCTAAGTTATCAGAAAAATGTGCCTCAACTCATCGATAATTGTCATTCTTGCCAGCCAAGTTTAAGTTTTCTATGTACAAACCACCTGAATGCACGAAAAATAGAATAAATACAAAAAAAATTAAGAATTAAAATAAATAAATAAAGGAATATAGATTAATGTCTATGACACTGTTTTCTTATACTTAACTTTATTATTTGGTAAATGATTTTCCAAAATTATTTGGTAAATAATTTACCCAAATTACCATTTTAGTTTCAGATACCCCCTTCACATTGGCACTTATGTATGGCTGGCTGGCTGTTAATAGCAAACAAGCAATTAACTCAAGTGCTTTCCCATTTTGTCTTCCAAATACAGGCAAAGGTACATGGTCGTCGAACTCGTGGAACTCCTTTCGGCTACGCAATCCTGAGAACCCAGGGGAAAACTGTACTACTGCCCATCCACTTTCCCGACCAGCTAGGAGAACGACGTTCAGGAGATATGAACTACCGACTGCGTGGCGCATTTGCTCCCTAAAAGCCAGGGGAAGCATTTGTCGGTGTTCACACAGGAACTCCCGAAAGTGGACCAGCCATTCACTTCACAGAGTGTTGTTCCTGAGTTCCTGTTTTACGGATCCAGTGGAGAAAAGTCCTTGTCTGAACTAGAGCTTCGCTACATACATGACTGCCAGGCTATATACAACCATGTGGAAAAGAACTTATAAGAGATATGTGGTGCTATATACAATAATAATCCAGTGCAGCCTAAAAACAACTTAAAGTGTATTGTCACCCAGTACACTTAACAGAAATTGTAAAATATCAAAGCGCACACAATGATTAAAACTATTACCTAAAAATAATGAAGTGGGTCTTCCTCTATGTAATCACTAAAGGACCCTAAATAACATAAACATAGAAAAAAGAAACCATAGTGCGAAATATGGATAGCAATATTGTGGTTAAAATTGGACACTCACAAGTTTCAGAGCCCTTAGAGAATGGCTCTGAAATGTAATAGCGTTTCATCCACCATTGGAATAACAGGAAATTGTAGCAAGGCCTTTACTGGAATGATAAGATCTCCAGAAGAAACAGGAACCAGATGATAGATGATAAAATTACTTTTATTCCATGTATATTTAAAAGTAAATAACAAAAAGCTGCACAACACATTTCAACCTATAAGCAGGTCTTCCTCAGGAAGGAACTTGAGGAAGACCTGCTTTTAGGCCGAAACGCGATATGCAAACATATCCTGCAATCGTGTATAATTGCAAATAGAATTTATTTATTGCAAATTATAGAGCTCAGGGACCTGCAGTAATGCAAGCCTCTGAATCATAAATAGAAACACAAAATCTCTGCTCCCAACGCTGCAAGACCACCCTTCAATATATCTATAGCTCCTTATACACACACAATGCAATCCCTATTTTTTTTAAATAATGGTGTAAGTGGGGTCCTCATGTTTAAGTTTCACCTAAGGCCTCACAAAGTCTAGAGCGGCCACTGATTAATCTATTGTTTATGATTGTCCCAATAGCTGTTCTTAACAATCTGAAACAATGTCAGTACTTTGTCTAGTGACTTTGAATTCTTCTCAAAAATAGATTTTACAGCTTTTTTTAATTCTTTTTCATAGAATATTTCATTTGAGAAAATAAGCTGGTACTTAAACAATCTCAAGTCTATCCCCTATCATTTCTTAGTCGATGGACTTGTTAGTAAACCAACAATATATGTTAACTGGAATATCAACGCTTTAGCTTATGGTAAGTTCACCTCCCTTACACGATGGAGATATCTTTTAATTCTAGATGAAATCTGAGAACATCCAAAAACATGTTTGCTTTTACCTAAATATACTAAGTATAATCATGTTCCCCAGTGCCTTGCAATCTGACTAGCTAGGCTTAACTATAAAATATTCATCATTTAATAAATATAATGAGTTCTATGGTAAAGCCCTGCTATTGAGTTAAAAAAGGAAATGCATGAAATTGTTAACTAATCCTATGTTCCACAGCTCATATAGCATTATGTTCAATTTAACCATAATATAGCTACATCAATGTGTTAATTTACGTATTACTGCAGCATTTGGGAATGCACAAATTATTCAGATTATTGACATCATGACTAATGAGCACTGAAAGGCTCAAATGTCCACTGTGAGTATTGGCTCGATAGTCTGATTCAGTCCCATAGGAAACTTAAATTCTCTGCAGATTTTCATTTACAACTGCAAAGTATATAAATACTAGTAATAGACTGAGATTATGCTCAAGACCGTTTACAAACTGCTATTCTGGTAAGTTTCTAATATCCTTAAACACTTAAATAAATAAATATATAAAAAATGTATATTAAAAAAAAAAATATATATATATATATATATATAAAACATGTAAAAAGTATATTTAGTGTGTTCTGTTAAAGGTAAAGTAATGTGCACTACAATCTTTAAAACATTTTGAAGCAGGGGCAACAGCAAGTGAGGCTGCTAATTTGGCCAACATTGTGTTAATAAGTTCCAAGATGTATTTACTGAGTAGATCCTTGTGCATGAAAGTTAAGCCTAAATTCAGCTAACTACTATGTTCACAAAAAAAAGCAGAGATGAGTTGACAGCTAATTTGCAAAATTAAATCCAATTTAGCCAATTTGGAAATATATGGCTTAAATTTAGCAATTCAGATAAGTACTCACTTTGAATACATTGTTTAGTATGTATATATGTAGCATAGGGCTTTGAGGAGGAAATGGGGTTACCTAATTAGGAAATAAGAAGAGAACACCTTAAAAGTAATAAAAAATATATACAGCATATTTTAACTGTTTAATATAAATTAAACATATAATATAAATAGATATGAAAGGTAAAAATATACATAAAATAATAAGATAGAAAGATAAACGATAGATAGATAGATAGATAGATAGATAATTTCAGTGAATACATGGAATAAACACTTTTGATACATTTTTGCATAAAGACCCATGACTGCCCATACTACATCTGTTTATTGGATTTATTGAATTATATGAAGTTAATATTGGGTAGCACCTAAGCATAAAAAATGTTTAAAATAGTAAAAGTTAATTCCATCACATCTCTGGCTATTTATATATATGTTTTATTTTTCTCTTGCTATCATTGTCATTGACTGATGACCTTTCAATTGATTGTAAACTCGTATTAAGTGTTTATGTTCACAAACTATTACATCTATTTTAGCACATTGATGTGGCTTATATTTATTACAAATTGATCTAACATATAAATATACATATTCTAGCAAGACAAGAAGCTTGAAAGGTTTGACATGTTTTACTGATAGGGCAGCAATTGATTTCATTTTGATTATGTTGTTTCTATGAACAAATGTGGTGTCACCTGACTTATGAAAAAAAAATCATTTAAATTTAAAAGAGGAACCATTACTTCTCTATATATTAAATCATTGAACAAAACATTCTTTATCACCTTTAAAATGTATCAACCTTTAATTCGTATATTGCTCTAATTTCTTTTAAATTTAAATTAAAGATTTAGCAAAATGCATCACAATCTGAAAAACAGTCATATAAATTCCCTTAATGGACAATATAAACATTATTTAAATAGCCTTAACTGAGTCTATATCAAACAATTTGTACGATGGATAATTATATCTACAAAATATTTGGGAGTAACTCTCAAATTTTAAAGACAAGATAGCAGATTACCCAATTGATGACCTTTTCAATAATTGCTTATAATAAATATGGGAAATTACATTCAAAAAAAGAAAAGGCATGGAATTTACATTGATTAAGGATACGGAACTCAAAGAAGAAAAAGAAGAAAATTTAAAGGGAGCCTGTAAATGTCCACAATTTTGATATTATGCTACTTATTTTTTATATTTAACAAATAATTATTTGTAAGGTGTGAAAAAAATAATTAAATATAGAATTCAACACCTCTTTATTATGCAACTGGGAACCTCGATACTAGCTCCCTGTCAGTCATAAGCTATGTCCTGTGCACCTGGCATATTGTTAGCATATTGATACGATTACAAATTAAATAATGTTTCTATTTGGCCTTCTCATTTGCAAAGTGTGCCCTGTTTGTGCCTGGACTGAACTGGATTATAGCATATAAAATGGTGCCAATGACATATAAACCAGGAGTAATATTACTAAAATATCTACAGGCCTTACATTAATTTGCTTTTACGATCTACAAGTCAATAACTGTTCCCATGAAAGGGTTAAAATAATAGATCCACAGTCCACAGTCCTATGTTCTCTGTATGAAACATTTCCTGGGATATTTTGTTTAAAAGTTACAATCATATTAGGGCCCACTGCACCTGATAACAGAGATAATTCATCAAGATTCCTGGCTTTGTAATTATCACTGCAGTCAGTGATGCTACCAAGTTTCATTTAATTTTATTTCTCTCGAAACCTGCCTTACACAAAACAATAATAAACATAAAGAATGATAGAATAAGGATGATAACAATAGACGTACATGTCTTGGCATTATATATGCAGAGATACCTTGATACAGTTAGACAATTTAATGAAATCTGAAAACATTTGGAAGACTATAAATTTAGTTCTGTAGATATTAAATTCCATAGAGATTGGGGTTATAATTGTCTTAGAAATGTATAATGTATTCTTTCCCTTTTGATTTCCCTTGGGGCATGATAGATCAGCTAAATGTCGAGATATATTGTGTATTGAAACAGAAATTTCAATAATGGAAAAAAGCTACTTTCACAGATAACATAAAGGTAAATTAACATATGTCCCTTAACACACATGAATAAAAGACTTAGAAAGCTGTTCAAACTCTAATTTCTTCACGAAGGCCCTCTTGTTGGTTCATGTAAAGGCTTAGTAGAAGCCAAAAAAATTGTCGTGTTTCAATGAAACATATTGAAAAATGTTCATAGTAAAAAATCAATCCTGTAAATATAAACAATGCAATTTTAATACAGAGAAAATATGAAAAAACCCATTATACATTTATTGCTTTTGAAAACATTACTGTTGTTTGTTTTTTACTATGTTACAGTACATTATTCTTCATTAGCAGTTTTAGCAATTTTATATGCTCTAATTGCGGAACCAGTATAAAATGATATGTTAATGCCTTTTATTAAGAATTAACTATTTTACCGCAATAGTGAAGATCAAACATACTTCAATTAAATTTGATTAATTTAATTTCTTTCTATGCATAATGTTCACAAAAAAATCTTGATTATACTGAAGGGTCTGTTTACTTTACAATGAGTTGACAAGAGAACCAATTATTAAAATTCAAGCAATAATAACTATATGGAAAAAAGTACACACTTTGCTAAATGGATGTTTTTCCAGTGTGTGAGTATGTTCTAGTGCAGGCATAGGCAACCTTTGGCACTCCAGATGTTTGGACTACACCTCCCATGATGCTTTGCCAGCATTATGGCTGTAAGAGCATTATGGGGAATGTAGTCCATAACATCTGGAGTGCCAAAGGTTGCCTATCCCTGTTCTAGTGTGTATGTGTGTGATGGGTTGTTAGTAGGACTCGTTTGCTTTCTGTTTTCAATTCAAATAAATGTATTATTTTGCAAATCAGTTTGCAAACATTCAGGACACTTTACTGAGAATTAAAAAAGTACTTTGCTGTTTAAAATATGATAGGCTTTATTCATATTTTATGTTTTTTTCATTGGCTTCATTGGCTAGTGTATAATTAATGGAGATTTAGGTGCATTTTAGCACCTAGAGTTAGAGTGTATTAGATCACATTTGCTAGAGTACATCTTCTTCAAGTCTTTTGCTTTATACATTTAACTAATGTTTCTGCTTGTTTACAGAGATCTGTGTTAAAGGGGCATTCCAAAACCCTAAAGCATGTCAGCTTGCTTTTTAGGCACCCGGTCAGCTCTTTTTCCATTTTACAAAAAATGCAGATTTCTACAGAAATTGGCACTTTTATATTTCAACCTTCTTACATCCCCTGACTTTCAATCAAACAAATGTTCCTGTTACTTCCTGGTTCTTTAGCTGCCTTAGTGAATGCTCAGAGCACCTGCCTTGCAAAGATGGCTCATTGAGTTGCATTGTTCAAAATGTGTTTTTAACATGAAAGGTACATGAGTTATTCACTAGAGGTATAACTTGCAGTTATTCATAGTTAACTTCAAAGTAGAGTTCAAAATAGCTGATTTAGAAAAAAATTCAATTCTGCATTCAGTTTGGCTATTTTGGCCTTACATTTGAAATTCATGTTAAAGTCACAGTATTTCTCACTTTATAACCTTGTTAGTTTGTCACTTTTTTTTCAAGTACTTCCAACTTAATGGTACTTAGAAGGATGAAATGCTGTAACATCTCAGAAGTATGTAAGGCTGTAGCATGACTTTGTCAGGGACCTAACTTGTTACTGTGAGATGTTACCACTGGCTTCTTTAACCAGCTACATGGCATCACCTTATCAAACCCACTAGCCTTTGTCCACTTTTTAATATAATATTTACTGGATCAAATTCTCTAGAATCCCATTCATCACACACCTTCTAATACTATGGGTTCTCCATTGAAATGACCAAACTTACTCTGTAACATGGTCCGACCATATTCACTGAACAGCCTCAACATTAAATCGACTGACAGGTGAAGAACATCAATTATATTGTTACAATGACACCTGTCAAAGGGTGGGATATATTAGGCATATATCCTGTGTTGGAATCAGGAAAAATGAGAAAAGATCAGAGTGAACTTGACAAGGTCCAAATAGTGATGGCTAGATGACTGGATCAGAGCATCTTCAAAATGGCTTGTGGGGTGATCCCAGTATGCAGTGTTTAGTACCTACCAAAGGTGCTGCAAGGAAGAACAACCAGAG